TAACTGCTCAATAAATGTGTACCTGAGTGTGGTCAATGGTGTTGCAGAAAGAAGACATTAGAACTGCAAAGGGCCTCCCCTGCTTGCAATCCAAGCTTGGATTTAGGAGTTTTTCTGTTAGGCAGAAGGGGGCAGTAGAGGAAAAGGCCAGAAGCAGGAGCTTATGACAGTAGGAGGTGAGACCCAGGCAGGAGGCTGCTTCCTAAATCTTGAGGAACCCACAGGTGAATGCCCTTCCAGAAAGCCACTCTCACAGGTAATTTCCGCAGCTGATGATAGGATCTGGAGCCCACTTTGGGTAGAATTAGTAAAGTTTTCACCATTTCTTCTAAGAATCCTGGAAGGAAATTTAGCAAGCAGCTAATCCTGCTTCTGATAGTTGGAGAAGGTTCTGGGTGGGCACCCTTCCTGACATGAAGTCCTGCAGCAGATGAAGGATGAGGTCCCAAGATGTCCTGCTCCATGCACCCTGCTGCCTCCAGTCCAGTCAGGGTCCCCAGCACCCACAAGCAGAGCTGGCTGTGTCTCTGAGCAAGGCCCCCTCTCTCCAGACCGAGGTCTATTTTGAGACAGGTGAAGAAGGAAAAGAAGTTCACACCACCTTCTTCCCCTCCAAAGCGAAAATTATTCATGGTTTAAAAAAAAATAACAAAACTCAGAGGGTTGTGAGCAGGAAGAACTGTGAATCCTGCCCCATTTCCTGACAAGATAGATGCTGAAGTCAAGACCTACGGATGAAATACAGAAATGCACCCTCTTCGACACTGGTCCAAAGCCACTCCATACTGACACAAGAAGAACCACCACATGCCAGCCACGCCCGGCACTGGCACAAACATTTTCTTATTAAATGCCTACAGTATGACCTCTGCAAAGTAAGGAACTATAATCCTCCCTTTCCAGACAAGGAAACTGAGGCTTAGAGAAGCTAACTTGTCCAGAACCCCAGGGTTTAAAGAGTAGCAGACTTTGGTGCATTGCTCAGCTGTTTTGAATTCTAAAACCCATAACCTTTCATTAAACTTACACACGATATTTAAGCCATATATATTCATTTACTGTGGCTGTTGGGTTGCCCTAAGCTATCTGCAACAGGATGGCTAAAACAAAAGAAATTTATTCTTTCACAGTTCTGGGGCCAGAAGGCTGAAATGCAAATGTTGGCAAGACTGTGCTACTTGCAGAGGTTCTCAGCAGATTCTTTTCCTGGCTCCTCCAGCTTCTGGTGGCTTCCAAACTTCAATCTCTGCCCCCACTCCTCACTACCCTCTTTTTATGTTAAGTTTATCTCTGATCCTTCTTTTCTAAGGATACATGTGATTGCATTTAGGTTCTTCTCCTCAACAACCCAGGATAATCTCCCATTGCCAGATCCTCAATCAGATCTCCAAAGACCCTTTTCCAATTAGGGTGACATTTACAGACCCTGGGGTTTAGGACATGGGTATCGTTAGGAGGTGACATTTTTCAGTCTGCTGCACCATCTTTGCCCATTCCTTAATTGATTCCTTCGCAGGTGTGTGTGTGTGTGTGTGTGTGTGTGTGTGTGTGTGTGTGTGTGTGTGGTGGGCATTGAGAGAACTAGAGAGATCAAAAGAGAAACAGGCAGTCTTCATTCTCAGGGAACTCATGCCACTCAAGAAACCTTTCATACCTCTTCCCAGATGCATTTGTGTTAGGGATAGAGGTGTGCAGGCATTGTTCTGATGATACATATATTAACTCAGGCCACAGCCCTACCCCCACAGTATCCACGTTCTTCTTCTCCACTGTAGAAGCACAGGGGAGACAGGCAGGCCAGGGGTGAGGGAGGGCATGGTCAGGGACTGCTTCCCGTAGAAGGTGCCACCTCCTCAGAATCTAGAAGGACAGGAATTGGCCAGAGAAAATGGAAAGGGGGAGGGGACAGGGAAAACCCCCACCCCACCCAAACCTCAGGCAAAGGGGAGCTGAGCTGCTTCTTGATGGGTTAAGACTATCCCTGCCAGCACAGGCTGTGGGAGCCACTGAGGTGTTCTAGTGGGGTGGGGACACGGCCAAATCTATTTCTTCCTGAATCCCAGCTGCCCTGTCCATGTGTATTTCCCAGCTTAGTCCCAGCCTGCTGAGGCTGCTGCAGCTTTGGAAATCACCTGGAGAATCAGAGATCACCTGGGACTCAAGGGAGACAGAAGGGAGGTGCCATCTTGCTCATTCCTTTACCAAGAGACCTCTTGCTTCCCTGGGGCAACACCTCCACTCCGGGTTCCCAGTTCTGCAGTGAGGCCCCAACACAGAGCTACATTTTGAACTCTTAGATCAAGATATTGGAAGCTCTGGGGTCCTGGTCCCAGATCCACCTGTAAGAATCCAAGAACCTTAGAAATGGAAGCATCTTGGAGGGGCTTTTGTGTTGGCACTCAGCAGGCTTTTCTGGGATTCTAGAGCCATGACCTCACTGTAGATCACACGTGTCATTATTGCAAGTATCAAGTTTGGCAAGGAGAGGGGCTGTGACTTCTCCTTTTTTTTTCTGTTCCCCAGTATGCCCAATACAACACAGGTACTCAATAAAAGGAATGTGGCAAATCCAGAGATGTCCTGTCCCCGGCTTTTGGGGGATTTGTTCCCAGAGTTCTGAGAGTAATTTCTGAAGCTCCCACTAGGGGGAGCCCCAGCTTCTTCCCATCTCCTTTCTGTGTTGAGCACCTTGGGTAAGAAAATAAGAGAGAGCTGACCTTGGAATGACTATTAGGGTTCCCAGGGCAGGCAGTGGTCCCAGCTCCCACTCCCACCTTCCTGCCAAGGGCCTGGATGGATCTCCTGCACTTGGCCTCTTTGCCTTCCCCCTTGTCCTCCTTTACTTCCTCCTGGAGTTCACAGGGCAAGTAATGCATTCCCTCTCATTTTCAGTAGTCCAGTAAGAGTGATATTACTAACCCCATTATATACATAAGGAAACTGAGACTCAAAAATGTTGGTATCCTGGGATGGGGTTGTAGCTCATTGGCAAAGCATATGCCTCTCACATTTGAGGTACTGGGTTTGATCCTCAGCATCACATAAAAATAAATAAAAATAAAGGTACTGTTTCCATTTACAACAACAAAAAAAATTTCAAAAAATTGTTGGTACCTTGCTGAGAGGGACATCCAGCTAGCAGTGAAATAAATGCAGAATATATTTCAAGGTTGAGCAGGACAACTGCAAAGGAGGAAACTTGGGTTCAGAGGGAGGCCACTGCAATTCCTGTCTGGGTCACTACATTGCTCTCAGCTCCTGCAGGTGACAGGTCCAACTCATCTTCTCTGGGCAGGGACTTCTTCTGTGTCCACTCTTGATTGGAGATCAGGGACATAAAGAGATTAAGACATACTTTACCCTGGAGGGTTTCCCAGCATATTGGGGAAGATAGAAGAAGAGAAATACAAAACTAAGTGGACATCTGGAAGAAGGGCCTAGAACTCAGACTACAAGACAAGATGGGGTGCCAGGGAAAGATTCCTGGAGGAGGAACCCTGTCTGCTAAACTGGCAATCTTAAGGGGGACTGAGTTCAGCCAAAGCCTGTACTTGTGCTGAGGGCAACCATTACCACAAGGGCTTCTTATGCTGAGCAAGGAGTTAGAGCCAGGAGAGGAAACCAGGCCTGGCCCTGCAGTGTGGGGGAGCTGGCATATGAGTCAGAATGAGGAGCTGAGGCAGAAGTGTAGCTCAGGCTGGAGATTCTGTCCTGGGTTCTGAGGTTGAGGTGGATAGGACTGCCAGGAAGTGAGAGTGTGAGAAACCGGGGTGGGGAAGGGGAGCTACAACATCTCCAAAGCTTCATGTATCCCTGGCCCCTGAGGAAGGGAAGCCTAATGGGGGGCCTCGTATTTTCTTCCCCCTGCCTGTGCCTGGTCCTCTCTACCTCCCCCACCGCATTCCAAGTCCCCTCTTCCAAACTGAGCCAGTTCCCGGCTCCTCCTCTTTACACCCTTCCCCTGGCCCTGAGCAGGCTCCACAAATGCTGTTGGAGAAGACTTTGTGGCCCTCAGACCATAGAGGGTTGTCTGGAGACTGTTCTTTGGAAGAATAGAGTCTAGATGCTTCTAGATCTGGGTATGAATCCCGGCCCCGCCTCTCACAAGCTGTGTGCCTTAGGTTAAACAGTCCATCCTCTCTGAACCTCAGCTTCCTCAGAATTGAATCAACCTCACCTGGAACGTACTGAGCTCTGTAAATAACAGGTGCTAACAAAAGGCACACACAGTAAGCGGGGATGGGTTGACCACGGGGTAGAGGGGCCAAGAACTAGGGCTGATGGATGAGCGGTTGCTGGACCCGGCACGGGTGGTCGCGGGACTCGGGTCTCATGACCCTGATTTCTTCCAGGAGGGGCGGGGCCTGGGGGCAGCTCTGAATTTCAGAACATTCGCTGCGCCCCTTGGCGGCGCGGCAAGCCACCCTCGGGGGTCTCCAGGGGAAGAGGCGCTTACGCCGAGGGAAACTGAGTCCGCAAAGC